TTAAGATTCGATTTTAGTGGAAATTTCGATGTGGACTTCAGTTTTCAGATTTAAGTTCACCAGGAAGCACTGTTGTGGTGAATCGACTCAGCCATCAACAACTTCATCGATCTGGGTGGAGGTTGATGTAGGTGGAGAAGGAAATGGGTGAAGATTGAGGTTTGGGATGACAACTGTCTTGAAGGCATAGGAGATGAAGATGCAGACACTGGAAAAATCTCAATCGGCAAAGCTTGCTCCGACAAAGTCGACGCCGGTGAAGCCAAGGTTCAAGTAGAAGATTTGGTGGTGGCGCTGTGGGTTTGAATTTATTTTTGGTGCTGATGGTTCCAACTGGGAAGATAACACACACAGAGAGAGAGAGAGAGAGAGAGAGAGAGAGAGAGAGAGAGAGAGAGAGAGAGAGAGTGTGTGTGTGTGTGTGTGTGGGAGTGTGTGTGTGAGTGGTGGGTTTATTTTGTTTTTGTTTTTTATTTTATTATAAAAATAAGAAAATAAATAAAAGAAATTAAAATATAACTATTTAAGGGGCATATTAGTCATTTTAGGTGAGATATGGACCAAAAACACAAGAAAATACAACCAAATGGACCAAAACCACACAGTATCTAAAATTGAACCAGTATTGCACTGACATTTTGTGTTGGACCAAAACTATAGAATTTTGCCAACCACAGGACAATTTTTGCAATTTTGTCGAACTGAAAGAATTTTGTCATATGAAAAGTATTGTTGGACTTATAAATTTTTACACTAACGGATTTTTGAAATGAGGTGGATCACAATTCGCAAACAAGTTGAATGATTGGCGTGAAATTTTTTGGATGATTGGATAGAAGCCCGGGGCTGCCGTCCACCCATTCCGCCACTTCACCCAACCCCAAATCTTTAATACAAACTTTTAATCCGTTAATTTCAACCGCCGACGATCGACGGAGATATAGTAGACATGCTTGTTAGCAGCAGAGCAACTGTCGTCTCCGCTGCCGCACCTCAAAGATTTCTCTCTAATTTCAAGCGCATTTCTTCAGTTTCGATCCCCTCGTCATTTGGTTTTCCATTGATCAACGACCACCGTGAGAAGAAGATCAACACCACAATCGGATGGAGTAATTACTCTTACAGGATGGATAAGAAGAAGAATCTAGCTTTCACCTGCGCCGCCGCCGCCTCCGTCGCTGCACAGCCACTGGAAAATGCCGATGCCCTAATTGACTCCGTCGAGACTTTCATTTTCGATTGTGATGGTACCTTTTTATGTTTCTCTTGCTAAACTCGTCGAAGAGTTATGTAGATGAACGATTTCGATCGATTTGAGTACTTGTATTAGTAGTTTTTTGGCATACTCGCTTGCTTGGTTAGTAACTTGCGACTCGTAAGAGTTATTGAATAACATTAAACTCGTTTCATGGAAGGATAAGTTTGCTTCATTCTGACCTAATTAGGTATGCGCTGCGTTTAGTTGGAATAAGTTAGAGAATTTTGTAGGACAGTGATGAAATTTCCCTCCAGCTTTCTTTTGATTTATGTTCTATCTTCATTCTGACCTAATTCAGCTATGCGCCAGAGGTTTATACGCCTGCAACACTGAGTTGTGTGCTTTGAGTTTTGACATAGATAACACCAAATTCGATCTAATAACCTGCTTATTGCAACTAGTAAACCATAATAACTACCAATACTGAAGTATAATGCTATTATTACCTGTTTACCACCATTGTTGAGATCAGGATCAGGTAACCCACATTCATGGTAGGATCAAGCTGTATGCAATTGATTATGCATTTGAATATCAGAGCTTTAATACCAACACCACTATCACTATGTCATTTGTCTTCCCTTGATATTGGTTTCTCTTGGAACTTGTATAACACAGGAGTCATTTGGAAGGGGGATTCGTTAATCGAGGGTGTTCCAGAAACCCTAGAGTTGCTCCGATCAAAGGTTTGTAAAAATTATGTTCTTTAAGCTTAAGGTTTGTCCAAATATATTCCATTTTCTTTCTTTTCTTGTTTTCTAAGAGGCAAAATTGTTTTGTTTCGTTAGGGAAAGAGACTAGTTTTTGTAACCAATAACTCAACAAAGTCCAGGAAACAATATGGCAAAAAGTTTGAGACACTTGGTCTTAATGTCAATGAGGTGAGGTGTAACATTGTGCTAATGATTTTCCTGTTTTCCCTATTGGAAATTTTCTAAAATTCAAGTAAAGGTTTCAGGAGGAAATTTTTGCATCTTCTTTTGCTGCTGCTGCATATCTACAATCAATTGATTTCCCAAAAGACAAGAAGGTATATATGTCTATATGTCATAATTCATAACTACTTTCTTGAAATAATGAGTATATTTGAAAAGAACCAGGATTTTTTAATATATCAATTTAAAAATTGTCCAGATTTATGTGATTGGTGAAGAAGGGATATTGATAGAACTTGAGCTAGCAGGCTTTTCATACCTCGGGGGTCCGGTATGTAAAATGACGAAACTACCCTTCTTTGGGTACTTGTTATTTTCAGCATGAAGTGAAGTTACATTTTTCTTTTTGCAGGAAGATGGTGGAAAAAAGATAGAGCTCAAGCCTGGGTATTTGATGGAACATGACAAAGATGTATGCTTTTACTATTTTTTCTTGTAAATTATAAATTTAGTTAAATCATATTAAACTTCAGAATTTTTTTTTTTTTAAATGTTGTCTTCTGAAATGTATAGGTTGGTGCTGTTGTGGTTGGGTTTGATCGTTACTTTAACTACTACAAAGTTCAGTAAGTTCTTTTTTTTTTTAAATAATTAATCTAATTATGCATTACTCTTTATTAAACTAAACTGAAACATTTCCAATTTTTTTTTTAAAAAAAAAATTGTTTTGATTTGTAAGGTATGGGACACTGTGTGTTCGTGAAAATCCAGGGTGTCTTTTCCTTGCTACAAACCGTGATGCTGTAACTCATCTTACAGATGCACAAGAATGGGCAGGTTTAATTAACATTTCTTCTAATTTAATTAAATAATATTTAATATTAATAAATAAGATATAATATAAATGTGGTTTTAGGTGGTGGTTCTATGGTTGGGGCTCTTGTTGGATCTACTCAACGTGAGCCACTTACTGTTGGGAAACCTTCAACATTCATGATGGATTACTTGGCAAACAAGTAAGATGGTATTTTTTTTTACTTAATGTAAGGGTAAAATGGTCATTTAGTCTCTCATTCAGACGGTTTGTTTAATAATCTTGAAAAATTCTTATGTGAACAACAGATTTGGAATCACCAAGTCGCAGATATGTATGGTTGGTGATAGATTAGACACTGATATTCTTTTTGGGCAAAATGGTGGATGCAAAACTCTTCTTGTTCTCTCAGGTGATAATTAATTACACATATTTTTTGGTTATATGTATAAACTTTTTTTTTAGGTTTATATATATTTTGATCACTTTTTATATATATATTTATTTGTTTATAGGTGTAACAAGTCTATCGATGCTTCAAAACCCAAACAATTCCATCCAACCAGATTTTTATACCAACAAGATCTCGGATTTTCTGTCTCTTAAAGCTGCCACTGTGTAACAACTTTGTAGCTCATTTTCATGGCTTCTTTCTTGTATATGTAGAAGAAACAAGAATATAAGCTATAACACAATATCAACTCCATTATCTTCATCCAATTCATTTTCAAACAAGAATTATAAAGACAGTTGTATATGGTTGTTTCTTTTTTGACTTATTCGGGATGGAATAACTTAATGGGTTAAGCCAAAAAAAGTCGGTTTAATGTGTTAAGAAACCAACTATTTACTTGTTTGCCCTTCAATTTTTTCCACTCAACTCCTCAAACGTTATATTTGATGAATATTATGAAAAATGATTGTTGGAGTTTATGGATAAAATGATCATTTAATCTTATTCAGACGGTTTGTCAAGTCTATAAAAGAAACAGACTTTATGTAACACTATATTTTGTGTAGACGTACCCCATTACTCATTAAGTTACTTTATAATGACTAAATAAAAATAAGAATTAAACATAATAAAAGCTCATAGATCCCAAATAATTGAATAAGTAATGGGATCTCATGATGATCATATTTGATTAGTTGTAAAGGTAAAATAAAATTCTATATTATTTATAAATAATGAGGTATAGTTTTGAACTTTACTTTACATATTATCTAAATATTTTATTAAGGTTTTTATTTGTAAAATTAGACATAATAATAGCTCATAGATCCCAAACAAAAAGTAGAGCTATTTCTAAGAAAAAACCTATCAAAGCTGTTTTTTGGATAAGATTTAGATTTCATTTACAAGTCGTTTCATTTTTTGTTTATGTATCCGGTTTATAGGTCTTTTTCTTAATCTTAAAAAACATTTTATGATTATTTGCATAAAGAAAACCTGATATTTCGAACCATTTTTTGTTCGGAAAAGACCTATTATTTGTTTTACGGGTGAAAACTTGTAAACTAAATAAAAACAAATCAAAAGGTCAAGCATTTGGTTTAGATCGTAAAAAAAAAAAAAAAAAATAGGTCTTATCCCAAAAAACATGTCAAAATTGTCATTTAGTTAAAATTGAAATTTTAGAACTTTTGTACTGTGATGTACGTTACAGATTTTCATTTCATTTCATGATGAAATTATAAAACACGTTTGAACTAAAAGATATAAATTAACAAAATAAAAAGTTACCCTTATTCAATAATTGTTCATTTCATTTCATTAAACAAAATGAATAAAACAAACAACTTTTTTCTTACATTCCCTCTCTATCTTGATTCCTATTATTATCCACACTTCTACCAATTATTGTAACATAACTAGAATTTCTTCCCAAAATATATATAAAAAATCAGAATAAGATTTGTAAAACACTCCAATAGTTTGATGAAAGAAAAACACATAATTTTCTATATGAATACAACATTCAACTACAATTCCACTCTCTGAACTTGAACCAAATGTATACTTTTTGTCTAAAAACGTATATTAAAAATACATCCAGAACACTTTTTGAACAAGCAGATACCGTGGAAACTATATACATACAACATCAAATAACAAAAAAGAAAAACATCAAATTTAAATTCTTTCTTCTTCGTTTCTATTTTTTTTTCCTCTTTTTTTGTTCCCTTCCATTTTTATTGCCAGGTGGCAAATTTATCGACGTTGCTGACACATCTGGCAGACGGTTGCTGACTTGGCATTAGCAAAAGTACAATACTCACATGACCAGTGTTGTCCGGAATCATCTGTGGCTCTTGAACCGCTTGATGACCTGGCAGCTCCTTTGCTTCTACTGCTTCTGCTCTTGCTGCTTCCAGCTCCCAATGTCCTTGTGCCACCTGTCCGGCTGCTTCCACCGTGCCCATCCACGTCAGACAGCCCGTTCTCCAAAGCCCTCACTAGATTCTCAAAATAATTCCTTGTCACACTGTTTAAAAAAAATCAGTCTCAGTCCAATGCACACCAATCACAGTATTACCTATCCTGTCATATTCTATCTTGTCATGTGAAATTACCTGGTTAGCCCTGCTAGTTTCATACGGAACTCATTGAAGTCTTTTGAAGGGCTTTCAACATTGAGGTGAGTTTGTAGTTCCTTTTCAGCACATTGATGAAGTCGTTCCAATCCAGATTCTGCCTCACCTGAAACAATTATAAAAATAAAAAATAAAGTTTTATTTAGTAGAATGGCAGTTTGGTAAATTATGGAATGGAAGGATGTGTAGAACCTTGCAAGTATTCAAAGAACTGCCTTTTGGCATGTTCACGTTCAGGCAAATAATATCCATAAGCATATGTCCACTTCAGCACTCGTCTACATTCAACTATCTATAAAAATTCAAAAAACAAATATTTATATTCAGGATTATATTTTTTAAAAAAAAAACATGTCATCAATCAATTAAAAAAAAAGACCTGTAGCCAGGCCTCTGTGATGAACTTTAGCTGTGATTCAGGTTGGCACTGCTTGTCACTCAGCTTCTCAAGCTACAAAAAATAAATTAAATTAATAAATATGCTTTGTATTTGTTATAGATTTAATAAAAAAAATAAATAAGGGATGTATAAAAAAATGGCTTACGTGTGTGCTTTGCATTTGCTGAAGATCTGCCAGGGCCTTTTGTCTAGACTGCAGAGCAGAAAACAAAAATTATCATGTTAAAAGTCAAGATCTTTTTTATATAAAAAGAAGCAATAATATAAAAATAATGATGTAAGCTTACGGATTGGTTTGTAGCCCATCTTTCATAATAATGAGTGTATCTTTCTAAAGAGTTTTTAGCCATCTCTCTTCGTTTCTCTGTGTCATCATACTGCAGACAACAAAATACATAATATTTATTATTTAATAATTCCAAATGTGTAAAAGATTTATTAAATGATATAAATCTTAATTTATCTTACCACTCCCTCTTGTTTTGCTGCCTCATAACGGTTGCATGCATAAAAACCACCTGTTCTTTCACCATGATCAGACCATGCACCAAGACAAAGCCTAAAAAAAACATATTTCACAAGATTTTTATACTGAAAAAGAATCCATAATTATGAAAAATACATTGGAAACTAAATAAATAAATATGTAAATAATAAACCAACCAGCAGAATTCAAATTTGCAAGGTGGAGTACATGTAATATGCATACATCCTTGGTTCTTTTCAATTGGTCGCTTGCATTTGGGACATGGTTTTGAATTAGCTAATATCCTGAAAAATAAATCAAGTCAGATCACAAAATTATAGGGGTAAATAAGTAAATATAACTAAATACCAATTCATGTTTTCAGATTCTGCACTGTTCTTCATTATCCACTTTGACACAGTGTCACAATCAACCGGTCTGTGAGCCTCCTCAGTACACTGTTAATATCAGTCAAAAGTAATGAATATTTCTTTTGTTTTTCATTTAAAAAATAAAAATATAATAATAATACAAAAAACATGAAGCATACATTCCAGCAAAAGCTATATGAGCAACCACAGGTAACATCAAATGTTCCACCACCAACAATGAAGTCCACAGCATAGTCACAACCAGGGGCAGGACACCATTTTGTCTAAAATCAATAGAAAAAAAAAAAAAAAAGGATAATATTATATATCAGTGAATAAAGGGAATAATATGTGATAATTTTTAATTATAATAATTTATATTACCTTTCTATTGTCTTCCACAAAGGATCTAAGAAAGTAACGTTGATATTTCTCTGCATCATCATGTGAGACCATGGAAACAATCATGTCTTGACCAACAGCTGCACCACAAGATGGATCAGGACACCTCAGAGTCAAGCATCCAGGTCCATCATTGATGGAAGTGCTTATATATCCTGCATACATTCAAATAAAAGAGAACAATATAAAACTAGGGACAAAATTGTAATTGTTAAGATATATATGTGTATATATGTATATATGTGTGTAGAGAAGCCAACTTGCCACAAAAACTACCTTAAATATGACTATATTAGGACATCCAAGCTTTTTCTATTTAAAATCCCAATTCAAGATTTACAAAGTTATTTTCCAAAAGAAAGACTTTTCATCCATGCCATTAAAAATATTTGGTTGCACTATTTTCATAAAAACCCCTAAACAAAAATCAGCAATTTAGATTAGCTAGTTAGTTTTCTAGTCCTAAGTCCTTATCACTTTAGGCTTCTCTAATGTATACTTTATTTAAACAATTGGGCCATATGAATAAAAGTAAGCAAGCATTCAGCTTCATCAAGACTAAAATATGCATATACATATAAGTGGTGAATGGTATGTGCTTCAGAACAAACCTTTCCAACAAGTTACACAAAAAGGATGACCACAAGCAGCAGAACTCATACTATCACAAGGATAAACTTCAAAGCAAATCCCACATGTCAACTGCCAAAAACAAATGAATTGTTAGAATTTAGAACTGGTAAAACACAAGAATTCATGACCCTCAAATTGTTGATATTTACCTCTTTGACATTGGGAAGTGCACGTGGTTCCTCTAGCAATCCAACAACTCTGCGAACCTTTTCTTCATCAGCAAACCATTCATCATTCACTTTGCTGACACTCCTGTAGGTAGAAAACATTGAAATCTATTTATCAGAATATGTATGAAGTTTAAATGAGAAGAGGAAGGATAGAAACCATAGATTACCAGTTATAATGGCGGAGTAATATGGCAGCTGCAACATGAGAAATGGAAAGTATTGAAGATATCTTCATGATATCATCCTCTTGACGTAGATGAATATCAGCTTCATTTAAAATGGTGTAGTTTTGCTGGAAAAAAAAAGGCCAGAAACACTTATACTAATGCTTAATATGAAACAGATGTAGAAATGACTGTATTTCCTAGATCATTTAGGACATTATCAGGGGGAAGAAATGTCCCTAATTTATAACGAGTTATTACATGAAACTGAAAAGAAAACCAGCTAGAAAGCTGCATCATGGATGCTGAGTTTCTTAAAACTTTCTGTTACTTCTTAGTTGTTTTTGATAGCACGCCACCATTGGTGAATTCTGGAATAACATCAGCACGATTGGACACGACAAAAAGCTCCTAAAATCTGCTAGTCTTATGATCGTCTCACTAATTTATAAGATAAAAACGAGCATCATATATTGTAAAATCTCAATCCAAATTCGCAGCACTAGATCATCTCAAGGGGTCTATTTCCTTCTCATTACGTTTAATAACGGAAAGTATAGATCACAATACCAAATCAATCAATCAATCAGCTGTTTTGTCACGTAATCCACCGTACCTGGCTACGACGAGAAAGGAGATCATCAGAATCATCGGAATCATTGTCGATGAACTCGTAGTCGGCTGCATCGCCATCATCGGAGTCCATCGCAGTCTCCCCACTGTAGAAGTCATCATCAAGAGACTCGGCATCGTTCGCGTCGTGCATATCATCTTCCGAATCCATCTCAAAATATGAATTAACGTTTATTCTTCAACACAATAACGTGCCCTAATCGGTACTCCAAGATAAATAAATTAAAAAACCCAATTCAATCAGAGCAATCCCTAAAATTGAAATAATAAAAAGCCGAATTCAATCAGAACAGAACAATCACACACGGTCTCTCCCTCTCTCCGATTTCTCCAACTGTGCTTTGCTTAAAGCTTGATTGGCCGGAGATTCCGATGATTGAGAGAGAGGGGAAAGAACATATAGCTTTTTAAGCTTTTTAATGGTGGATGGAATGGAGGAAAGAGGTGTATTCTGCATACATACATTTCTACCATAAAGTAGTAGATGGACTTCACCGTCTCGGATGACGGGCTAAAAAACTTATACGGGTTGGGTCGGGTTTTTTACTTTATACATATTTTTTTTAAATAGTTATATTAATAATTAATAATTTGTTTTTTATAAATAAATGAATCCTTTAATTGTCGATCCATTTCTTATCTAAGTGAATTCAAGTTGATTTTAGTTTTCAAACATTGATCCAAATAATTTAAATTAAGTTCAAATTTGATCTGATCCAACCACATTACAATTTAGTTAGATCGGTATTTATAATTTGGGTTTTAAGAGGCAAGATAGTTTAAAAATATATAACTTGAAAATTAACCGGCTTTATAAAAGAAACTAAAAAAAATTGTTTAGTTATACATCAAAATTTATAAATAACGATTAAGAAAAATATATATTATAGTTGGATATTTCGTAGACAAAAACTTTTGATAAGAAATATATATTAACGTAATATATTGGATGAAACTTTCTAATATATTAGAAAAATAATTTAGTAAATTTATAAATGATTAAAGATATATATTAAAAATATTAATATAACTAAATAAATAAATAATTGTTGATTGATTTTTTTAATTATTCGGTTCTTATTTTTATAAAACAAAACCAATCTTAAATTCAAAATAATAATTCAACTTTACAAAAATCAATCTGAACATCTAAACCAAATAATCAAATTCATATTGTCCAATTAAAAAAAAATTAAATAATTTAATTTTATCCAAATAACAACAACTCTACTCAAAATATGTTCATCAACAATGAAAGCGTTTTTTATTCAAATCATAAATAATAAATAATTTATATTGTATAAATTATGTATTCCCTTTAAATATGGATTTCCAATTTGGAAGATTAATCTTTTTCATTAATCCGCTACTAGTGTATCAGCTATTGTCTTGATTTGAACTTACTGACTTTTTTTATCTAAATAATAATATATAAATAATAAATAATAAAATAAATAAATATACTAAATGATAACATATGAGCTAATCGGTGGCCTTTCCGAATATTAAAATGAGGAAACTACGATGTGGACACCAAAAGGATGCTAAATCAGCACTTTTTTGGTAAACTATCTATATCAGTTTATATAGCACATTTTGAATAATATTAATACTTAGTTACCCTTACGGACATCAAAATATAAATAACAATACACAAAATTTCTTATACACGAATCACTTTCCAAATTGAATAAATGGGAATACACAAAATTGTAGGTTGACAATTAATGAAACTAACCTTTTCTTAAATACTTAAATGTCTAAAAAAATGCATTTATCTATATATCGACTCGAATTTAAATACCATAACAAAAATTATTAGCCCCAAATCATCAAAGATTGCAAATTACGATTATATTTAATTTATTCTACATACACTTAAATTGCTATTACCTTCATCCACTTAGGATATATCATCATTTTACTTAAAAACTTATTATATTCAATCGCGCATTACAAGTATTGAACATGAGCATCAATGTTCATCTCATGTCAATTAATCCCCACACTCATCACATCATCGCAAAACTCAAAAAAGATACCATCTTTTAAAACATGAAACACATACCACACAACGTGTAATCTTATAAAGTTTAGTGAGTTTATGCGTTTAAATAACATAAAACGGTTAAATACATAATTGATAAAAGATATGTTTGAGTAAACACGAAAGCTTAATGTAACAAGCACAATCTTTCATTCTTATCCCCTTATCGCCTGAGCGTGGGGACATACAAATGGTGTGGTACCATGGGGACTTCAATTATAAGTCTTAATTTTCTTTAATATTGTATTACTAATAATTAGAAGACAGAATAATAATATATTGATTAAAATATTGTTACACGCTACTAATCTAATTCATGTTTTGTTAACAATAAAAATTAGGTTTAGTAAATATTATTAATATCAATTAGGATTTAGATAATAATATAAAGACATTTACATATGCAAGCACTACCAAGAGCATGAGTTTAAGAAGGCTTTGAACTAAGCCCAATTCATAGCTTCTAATTAGGAATTGATTTGGTGTTTGTTAAGAAAAATAATACTATATTTTAAGAAAATACATTTTGACGAGAGTGACGATGAGTCATTGGACCTAGTATTTGACATTTCATCCCAACAATCATTTGTGATTCTCTATTGTATAATAGTTAATCAAGCTATTGGTTCATTGAAATAAAAGTTTGAGCAATACATTATGGAAACATTTTTGATTTCTTATTCATAACATAAAAGCTGAACATACATAATATCTAAAGGAAGTTGAAATTTATTTCTAAAGATGTTACAAAATGGTCATATCTAAGATATCAATGGTGATATTTTTTATACAAGCTAGAGTTGTTATAATTTTTTACTAATTGAACATAATACAATTAACACAACACCAAATTTCTTTTAAAAAAAGTAAACATTTATCTAGTTTTTTGTGTATCATATATAATATATTAATATTGTTGATGGTTTCCATTAAAGTTATATAAGCGAAAATAAGTTTTTTAAAAACTAAAATTTTATTTGCCAACGATATCTTTAGAGAGTTTAAACACTTTGGCTTTGATTTCGGTTGAGAAAATTTTCTTAAAAATATTTATTATGAAAGTATAATAGATATATTTGCTTTTAAATACTTAAGTTTAGTAACAATTTACAGTATTTTTAAGAAACATCAATTTAATTTTCGAACAACACATACAAAATGTCAAAGTCATGCCTACTCATCACATAATAGTTTGTAGCACCCCAAATCATAACACATACTTTGCTACAATGCTACCCCAAAACACTAGAACTAAGTAATAACATATTTACTACTTTGGCCCACACTTCATATGTATGTTACAAAACAACATAAGCTTGGAATTCTAGTGAGATTTGAGTTGTATATATGCTAACAACAACAATAAAAAAATTTTAATTATGTATAAATTTATGTAAAATACATGTTTATGTCAAGTACATGTATAGATATACAGGAACAAACTATATCCATATTGGAATTCCAATTTTGTTATCCAGGAACACATGATGTTCCTTTTCTTTCATAATTTCCCAAGGAACATTAGTTTTCTTATTGTCATCTAGGGACCTTTCTTCCATAATCATCCTACGAGTAACTCATTCCATAAACCAATGTTTGTTTTAGACATCAAATATGTTTTATAAAACTAGTTGGTAACTGTAACTTTTATTTGTGTAAAAGTAATTTGTAAAAAATAATTGTAAACTTAAAAAAACAACATAAAACACAAAAGCTAAAAACTCTCAAAAACTACTTGAATATATTTTAGATTATAAATAAAAATTTTAGTTTTGTACTCTCGAACGAATCTTTCTTTTTAATTCCGTTTTTTCTTCTGAATGAATGAGGAATCAACAAAAGCAATATATTAATGCATATAAATTTATAGTCGTCTCATACAAAGTAGCAAAACACGAGAAATCATATATGAAAAAGACAAAACTGCATAAATGGTCTCTGTAGTATGTCGAAAATTGTCATTTTGGTCCAAAAAAGTTTGGACTAGCACCAGAGGTCCAAGGTTTTCATTTTGTTGCAAGTTTGGTCTAATTTGTTTTGAATTTTTTTAAAATGCCGATTTTGCCCTTGATATTTTCTTTTTTTCATTTGTTTTGTTTATTTTAACATTTCTTGATTAAAAGAAAAAACAAAAAACCACCCCTACCCAACCCAACCCCTACGTTTAACATATTAACTTTCACCACTATTGCCTGCCACCACTATTCACCACTTCCGCATGACACCACCACCACCAGCTCACAAGCTTAGGTCAAACAAAAAAATTTAATATTTGAGAAATAAAATAATCATTTTTTTTTCAGATTAGCATCGTAAACATGAATAATCAATTATTCTACAAACCCAAATTTTTCCAAATCACTCAAAACAGAATGAGATTACTCAAGAACAAAATATCTCTACAAACTCGATTTTTTTAGATTTCAAAAATAAGGATACATTATTCTACACTTGCAAAATCAAAAACCCTAGAATCATTCAGTTTTTCTAGACATATGCATGATTATCGTTTTTTGATCGTCTCTGTCGTCACCACCGTCAGCCATCATCGTCAACCACCACATCATGAATGCTTCTGAAAGTCGTCTTTACCAATCATAACAACTTCGATCTAAAAGTCGTCGTCACCAACCAAAACCCTATTTCTGCCTTCCTTCATCTTTGAATGAAATCCAGATCATTGTCGTCGTCGGTTTTCCGATCTACTTTGTCACCGCCGCCACTACATACCAGATCCTTTGTCTTTGAACGAACCCTCTTACAGCGTCGTTTGGGAGGGAGGACGACAGATCTGTAACTTGACGAAGAGGATGGTTAAGGGCGATGAACTGAGAGAGAGAGAGAGAGAGAGAGAGAGAGAGAGGAGAGAGAGAGAGAGAGAGAGAGGGACGTTACTAAAACCCTTGCGTTGTTCGAACCTAGACCCCTTCGTCGCCGCCGCCTCTGCAAACCCTAGATATCTCACCATATATGTTCGCTGCCATGCTCGTCGGATGGTCAGCGTCTTCGAAAAGTGGAAATTTTCTGAACATCGGTGCCACTGGAAAACCAATAGATCTCGTCGGTCTCGAGGATGACAGATTTGTGGGACGTCAAAGATGGCGGATTTGAGGGAAATAAGGGTTTTGAAGAAGAAATGAAGAACATGAGAGAGAGAAAGAGTTAGGTGTATTTTATTTTGTTTTTTTAATTGTTTTTTGAATTCTTGTAATAAAAGAAAATTATAAAATAAAATAAGAAGGGCAAATCTGTCATTAAAAAAAATTCAAAACTTTTGGACCAAACTTGCAACAAAATGAAAACTTTGGACCTCTAGTGCTAGTCCAAACTTTTTTGGACCAAAGTAGCAATTTTCGACATACCACAGGGACCATTTGTACAGTTTTGTCTATGAAAAATCAACATC